TAACTATTTTATTGCCACTTTGGGGATTCCTGGCTGGTGTTGTGTGCAAGGAGAATTCTTGCTGGGATGCAACACCTTCCATATCCCTGGCTATTTAAAATAAACATGACCACCAATGAAACAATTATCCATATGATCCCTCAAACCTGTTGCTTCATGTGGCCCAATGCTAGGCCAAGTGAAGCTTCACCTTTCCCAATATGAAAATATTATAGTTCCAGCTTCATACCTGATACGGTCACCATCTTTCTTCTTGAGTTCTGCATCCCTCTGCAGAACTTTCATCAGTTTTCCGTACTCCTCTTCGGTCAGAAAGCTGAGGTCCAGCATCTTCTTCTCAGCTTCCTTCAGCCAGGGAGTTTGGAAACAGCAACAATTAGGGGGGCATTGAGTGGGGGCTCTGCAAGGACTCGTCACCCAAACTGGAGAGTATGGGGAGCACCAATTCAAGCCAGTTTGCCTTGGAGAAAGATCTGCCGGTGGGTCCAACCTGGAAAATCAAAGCATGGACCTGTTCTTCTATGATCTGAGCCTCTTCGTAGCGTGTCAATGGAAGCTAGAAGTCTCTCCATAGAGCTTTAGTCCTTCATTTAATCCATATCCAGCAAGGGAAGCATAAATGAACCAGTTCCCTCAATGAGAAGCTGATGTGTCACCAGACGCAAAGAATTCGAAGACAGGAGCAATGACTGCGGTTCCAGCCAAAGCTTTCTCCTATCAAGACATCTCGCCGATCTGGTTCAGTGGCACCTGCAAAGAAAAGAATAGGGGAAGGGAGAAGAATAACACATTGACTGAGATGCCTTTTCTCGATTAAGGCAACATGTGGTGACCGCATGTGTACATTGGGAATGTTGACTCATGACTTCCAGTGCGCAAGGCTTTGTGTTTGCAGAAAATGGAAAGGGGGAGGAGGGGAAGAAAGAGACATGGCTGCTAATGCGATGTCAAACTGGTATAAGCTTGTGTGACACAACCTCACTACCTCCGAGGATGCTTGCCATAGATGCAGGCAAAACGTCAGGAGAGAATGCCTCTAGAACATGGCCATATAGCCCAAAAAAACCTACAACAACCCAGTGATTCTGGCCATGAAAGCCTTCAACAATACATAGAATTTTGGGTTTTGGACCATGACTGGACAACAGGGTTCGATTTCCGTTCAGCCACAGAAATCCATTAGGTGACCTTGAATGAGTCACATTCTCTCAGCCACAGAAATATCTTAGAGTCATCACCATAGGTCATAAACAACTTGAAGGCACACAACAACAACAAAATAGTATTGTGTCAGTATGCTCTGCTGTGCAGTTTATGTAAGAAGTTAAGGGTGATGTTCATATTTTGATATATTGTCGAACGCTTTCATGGCTGGAATCACTAGGTTGTTGTAGGTTTTTTGGGCTGTATGACCATGTTCTAGAAGCATACTCTCCTGACATTTTACCTGCATTTGTGGAAAGCACCCTCAGAGGTTGTGAGGTTTTGTGGATGCTTGCCACAGATGCACACAAAACGTCAGGAGAGAATGCTTCTAGAACATGGCCATACAGTCCAAAAAACCTACAACAATCCTGTTCATATTTTGTTAGGACAATGTGTTGTTTCCTTTCGATGGCCAGAGTTGCATTATTAGGAAACCAGTGGCTCTAAAACTCTATTATTATTATTATTATTATTATTATTATTATTATTATTATTATTATTATTATTATTATTAGAAACACCACAAGATGAGTCCACAGCAGACACTCTGCTGGCTGTTGTATTGGATCACACGTCGGACCCTTCCCAAGTGTCTAGGACTGTGTGATGTATCGGCGAATAATGCGTGCAGATCCCAGTAAGGTGGCCTTTTGCAGCTGGCAGATGGTAATTTTGTCAGTGCTGATTGTGTTTAAGTGCAGGCCAAGGTCTTTAGGCACTGCACCCAGTGTGCCGATCACCACTGGGACCACCTTTACTGGCTTGTGCCACAGTCTTTGCAGTTCGATCTTTAAAACCTCTTATCGTGTCAGCTTTTCCAGCTGTTTCTCATTATTATTATTATTATTATTATTATTATTATTATTAACACCACAAGATGAGTGCACAGAAGACACTCTGCTTATTATTATTTTTTCTCCCACCCTAGTTTTTTCTCCCACCCTGGACATTATTCCATATTTATATAAACCCCACTTGCCTAGTTTCCAATAGACCACATGTATTATTATTATTATTATTATTATTATTATTATTATTATTATTATATACATAACAAGATTAGCACACAGCAAACAAAATCACTATGCTGGCTTTTATATTTGATCACATGTCAGGCACTACTCAGGTATCTAGGATTGTGTGATGTGTTGGTGAATAATGCATGCAAATGAGAGTAGGGTAGCCTTTTGCATGTGACAGAAATGTAATTTTGTCAGTGCCGATTGTTTTTAAGTGCAGGCCAAGGTCTTTAGGCACTGCACCTAGTGTGCCGATCACCACTGGGACCACCTTTACTGGCTTGTGCCAGTCTTTGCAGTTCTATTATTATTATTATTATTATTATTATTATTATTATTATTATTACTATTATTATTATATACATAACAAGATTATTATACAGTAAACAAGATGACTATGCTGGCTTTTGTATTTGATCACATGTCAGACATGTCTCAAGTGTCTAGGACTGCGTCAGCGAATAAGTTGTGCAGATCCAAGTAGAGTAGCCTTTTGCATGTGACAGATGGTAATTTTGTCAGTGCTGATTGTTTTTAAGTGCAGGCCATGGTCTTTAGGCACTGCACCCAGTGTGCCGATCACTACTGGGAACATCTTTACTGTCTTGTGCCAGAGTCTTTGCAGTTCTATCATCATCATCATCATCATCATCATCATCATCATCATCATTCGATATACAACAAGATTAGTACACAGTAAAGGACCACCTTTACTGGCTTGTGCCAGTTCTATATTTTTTATTACTACTGTATTATTATTGTTATTATTATTATTTGCATTCCCTGCTTTTTCTCTCCACAAAGGAGACTCGAAGCAACTACCACAGGGTTTTCTTGACCAGATATGTTCAGGAGAGATTTGCCTTTGCTTTCCTCTGAGGCTGAGAGGGTGTGACTTGCCTATGCTGGTTTCATGGCTAAGCTGGGCTTCAAACCAAACATCTTCTATGGTATCTTATGAAGGCACGCCTAAGAAATGTCATATTCTGCTTCTGTTTTTACTCTGTCTCCCACTGGGAACAGCTCACAGTTTCGGTGAGGAATGGGTTGTGCCATGTTGGCAAGGAATTCCATTGTTTAGTTGTTCGTACTGCCTCTACTCCTGGCAAGGCAAACAGTCCAATCTCACAGAGAGAGGGGAAATACAAGGTAAAGAATTGTTCAGCAGCATTCAGGATCAAAATGTATCTGAGCAGGGCATGTAAGATTAAAAGACTTTCCTCTTTGAGCCACTATTACTTATTAACTTGGCTGGAATGGAACAAAGGCAGAATTTATTGGCTTTGGGAATCTCACACTAGGTGTTTCAGTTGCAGGACTTCAAGCCGGTTCCAAATTATGGTGACCCTCAATGCAAACCTATACCAAGGCTTTCATGGCAAGACTGCTTTGGGGACGGGGACGGGAGGTTGCATTTGATTTTTTAATGAAGCTGAGAGAGTGTGACTTGCAAAAGTTTTCCATGGCTGAGCAGGGATTCAAATCCTGGTCTCTCCAATGATGCAGTCAAACCACTACATCATACTATCTGAACAAAGTTGTCAGCTGTGTTGTGTGCATTTATAAAACACTGGGTATGGCAAAAAGAGACAATAAGGCAATTTTTCAACCTGGGGGTGGGACCCCTGAGGGGGTGGGGGGGGGGTTTCAGAGGGAACGCCGAAGACCATCATATTTCTGATGGTCTTAGGAACCCTTTTAGCAAAGAAGGCTGGAGATCTCTCTGCCTGTCCTTCTCTGCCTGTGAACTACAACTTCCAGAATCCAAAAACAGCCACCTCCCAATGCCACCAGTATTCAGTGTTGACTCTGTAGGTAGTGTGTCAAGTTTGATGGAAATCCATTCTGGGTTGAGTTCAGGGTGCTCTTTGATTGTACATTAACTAATAATAATAATCTATATAAATAAAAATGTAATGTTCGTTTGTGGGATTAACATAACTCAAAAACCACTGGGGGAATTGACACCAAATTTGGACACAAGACACCTAACAATCCAATGTATGTCCTTCACTCAAAAAAATTGATTTTGTCATTTGGGAGTTGTAGTTGCTGGGATTTATAGTTCACCTACAATCAAAGAGCATTCTGAACCCCACCAACGATGGAATTAAACCAAACTTGGCACACAGTTCTCCCATGACCAACAGAAAATACTGGAAGGGTTTGGTGGGCAGTGTCCTTTGGTTTTGGAGTTGTAGTTCACCTACATCCAGAGATCACTGTGGGCTCAAACAATGATGGATCTGGACCAAACTCTACACGAATACTCAATATGCCCAAATGTGAACACTGGTGGAGTTTGGGGAAAATAGAATCTTGACATTTGGGA